AAAAAAAAAAAAAAATTTTGCTATCAAATTTGCAGTTCTTTTAAGAGTTTAAAAACGTATCTCCTTATTTCTTTATTGCTCATTTTATAGTCATCTTCTTCAACGGTTATACTCTATCAATGGTTACCCAATAGTAACTCTTAATATGAAACCTTCCTTTGTTTAAATATGGTTATAACTGACTATCTTCCTGCCTTACTTGATTATTTATATTTTTTTCATCTAAATTCAGAAAACCCTTGATTGTTAAGATTTGAGAAAACAAAATTCAATTCAATCTTCTCAAATAATATTGATGATTAATGATCTAAGTATTAATGAGTGGTGTTTTTAAACCTACTATTGAGTTTAAGTAAGATTTAAATTCTCTCTATCACATTTTCATTGAATTTTACTCAATTATAAATCATTTATAGTGCATGAGCAAGATCCATTTATAAACAGTGATTACCCATCATGTATGAGTTTGTTCCCCTCATATTAATAGTAGGTGATTAAAAATTGAGTAAAACTACGGTAAAATAAAATGGAGAAGATCTCAATCCGTTTAAATAGATAAGAGAATGTGAGGGAGATGAAGAGATTTCAGAAAAAAAAATTGAGTACCCCTTCATTTGACATGAATTTGAATAAAAGACCAGAGTTGGAAGGTTTTACCCGAATTTAAGTGTAAATCAACTTTGAGCAAGGGCCGGAATGCCCTAATACAACTCTTTATTTTTTGATAGTACCACACTAGAATTTGATTGTCAATGAGAATAATAAAGTAAAATCATGTTCCCAATTTTAAAATATCTCTAAAATATTAATTGTCTCAATTTAGTTCATAAACTTTTAAAATTGTGTCAAATCAGTCCTTTTGGTATAATTTTTTTGTTGTTAATAATCAGGAGTGTTCGGACCAGTTTACTCTTATATCAATTAATCTTCTCTCCGATTCAATCAAAATCAAACCATCTATGCCGAGACTAAATAATTCATAAAGAGTAATCTCTCATAGTTTGATTCTAAGCAATAGACAAGATTTAAATTTAAGACATTTGAGTTCCTTTTGTTACATCAATTATCAAAACAAATTGTTTTTCTTTGCACGCGAATCTTGCACTACTATTGAGCAGTGGCAGATTTAGTATGGGGCAACTGCCCCCTCTAAAAATTCAAAAAAAAATTGGATTTAGGTGTAATTAAAAAAATTTCAAATTTTTTTTAAACTTGCCCCCACAAATTTTTTTAAACTTGCCCCCACTGAAATTTTTTTAAAGTATAACGTATATTAATATAATTTTAAATCCTCAAAAGCTATAGCTCCTTTTCACGCCTGCTTTTTTTTTTTTTTGTTTCGTAAGCCTTTGTCTTCTTCGTCCAGATTTCTAGTACAGTTCAGCCGGCAATCCCTCTTCTTTCTTTTATTTAGTTTTTTTGTTAGTTCCTTTGATGTATTTATCAACAAATCACCCTATTGAATTCAATTATTGTGTAAATCAAATTTGAAAAAACTCTAGAAGATAATGTTGAAGCTAAGGAGAGATAATTCATTAACCAAATTTTTTGATAGTAGTATTAGCATTAATCTAAAATTCAATTTTTTATATTAGAAAATTAGTTTAACTCTTGTAGAATTGATGGTTGTTTGGTATATTATTTATGGACTTATGTGAATTTTTTTTGGTTCGTCTTTGATCACCACTCAACTATTTTGGATTTTTGTTAAAACCCATGTTCAGATTGGCTATTTGAGATTTTTGGTTAGTGTTATTTTTCTTCCCTATGATTAAATTGTTTTAATTGACTTCTTGAAATTTTAGTTTGAATTTATAGATTATATTTTGATTATACGTAGTCCATTATCTTATTTGTAACAAACTTAATGACGAACTTTTAAACTTGAATCTAATTAGATAAATTTATTTTTCAATCAGTTATGAATAAGTTGTCCCCGCTGAGGCAAAATCCTAACTCCGCCCATGCTATCAAGGGCAATAGAAGAATAATATAAATTTTCAACAACCTAATATTCTGTCATTTGCCTAAACAATACGTTACACACACGACTCTTCAAGATCAGCATCAATTTTTTTAATAGTATTAAGCAATTTTGGTATCCAGTAAAAGGATGGCTACAACAAGTTGATGAGTTCCAGCATACACAAGAAGTCAAATACTTTCTCGAATAGATTACCACCAACTTGCACGAGTCAAGAAAAGAAAAATATTATTTCGACTTATCTTATTAATCTTGGCTATTATAATCATTAAATTAATAATAGGTCTCAATTAAAAGTAGGGTCCATTATAAATTAAACAATAAAAAATAATTAAATTAACAAATATGATTAAAAAATTAAATCAAAACAATATTACTCGTCAGTCGTCATAGCACAAATTGGGTCAATCCCATCTGGATACCACTCCCTCAAATCATATCCGGTATTCCTCCACTGATGGATCATTTTTCTCGGTTTCACACTCTTCTTCTTCTGCCTCGTCTTGATCATCCCAATCATACAAGGAGGCTTTTGAAAAGTCTATAAACCTCACCAAAATGCCACGAAATTACACTACTTACACGCCAAGCTCTCTTTCATACCCTTTTTTCCGGCCGATCCCCGTCTATGACAAAATCCATGTTGTGTATAAGTAGATTTAGTGAATTCGTCTCATCTTTAATCAGGTGTTTGTTGATTTATTTATTTGATGGGTCAAATGAATTCATCTGTTAATGTTTACGATTCATACTCATTAAGGTTAAACTCAAATCCATGTCAGATAAGCTGACTTTGTCTAGAATGATCAAAAGGTCTGGGTGTGAGAGAATAGTCATCAACATTGATATTCACATATCTAGAGAAAAGGAGCAGACAATAAAAACAAATTTGAAATTCAGGTACAAACAATAAATAATATCAACATATTACTGAAACATTTGTTGCAAATCGTTCACATTTTCTTACTTTTGTATGACCAAAATTACATAAATAAAACAATGACACAATGAAACAATTCTAGAAGTAGTTTTTAAATTTCATAGTTTCGAGGATTATGGGATTCCTGAAACTCATGCTGACAGAATTCTCGTGCTCCTAACTTCATTTTATCGTCGACGATTCAAGTTGGTTCCCTTTGACACTTGGTAATTAGCATTGGAACCAATCTGCTTAAAGCCATTTGGATTTCCAGGAGAGAGCACAGAACCTCTGCTGAAGCTTTTTGAGTTTGACAAATATTCCACGCCTGAATTCTGCTGCAATACATCAAAGGTTGGTGGCTGAAACTCCGACCGGGTTCGACGGTGAGACGAGCCTTCCACTGAGTCTCCTCCAACTAGCAAGTGGTAGCTACGGGTCGAGGTTTCGGAAAACGATCGGTAACGGTTATGAGGTCTCGGTTTCTTGAGGGCTTGGAAGAGAAATGGGATTAAGCCTTCCATGGTTGCTTCTTCTTCCTCTTTCTTCTTTGTGGTTTTCTTTTGATCTTTGCTAGTATTTGTGTTTGTAAGGTATGTGACCCAAAGTCACACCTGTGCATTTATACTAGCAATAATGGTGATTGAGATAGAGAGATGAACAACATGGTCAATGACATTTATATCCTTTAAAGAGGAAAAAGGCAAACTAAACACTAGGCTTAATAATCTGTTAGGTCCTTCCTAGACTATATCAACTCGATTACCTTTGAAAATATAGTAAGGTCAATATGTTTCCTGTAACTAACTTGAAAGTGATTCGAAGTTATGCAATGACCGAATTGAAAAGGAGATTAGTCGAGGTGTGTGTAAATTATTGCAGACACCTTTAACCATTAAATAAAAAAAAATGGTACAAAGCCCAAATTTTGAACACAAAATAAATTCCGAACGTCTTATGTTAAATTCTTAGTATGCCTATCACCTTTGGATCCAGATCTTATCCTTGAATTTTGCTTAATTTTTTTTAATGATAAATCACTCTTCTTATATTCATAAGGATCCATCTGTATATAATGAATCTCAGTTAAATTCTTTTAATTAGTCTTTTGAATATTCATATCATAGTAGGTTAATTGTGGTAAAAGTGGATACTTTGGTT